CCCCCCCCCCCCCCCCCCGGAGTCTAGACATTAGTGCGCCCTCCGCAAAAAGCCCCAGCCCCCGTCGTCGGGCCTGCTCGCATCCACGCCGAGGGCAATGTGTCCAGATCTCCGCGACCCGCGAATGGAAGGGAGGGGGGGCAGCCTGTCGACGAGGCCTGACGATCAGCCAGCAGGTCTCCGCAACGGGTGTCGCCTCACGGCACGGAGGGAAGGCCAGCCCCCTCTTCGGGGACCCCCGCGGTGCGGTGGCTGGCCTCGCCCCTGTACAAGCCCCCCTCCCGAAGCATACACACTCGCGCACCTCCCTGTCCCCCTCTCTCTCTCTCTCTCCCCCTCTTTCTCAGTGCTTCGCCCTCCGTCTGCCCTTTCCCCCGGATTTGCACCTCCCCCTCCCCCCCTTGGCGGTCCTCCTGAACACACGCCAGCGTGCGCGGTCTTTGACGACCCATTTGGCCCCCCTCCCCTCGGATGTTCCGGCTGACTCTGTCTACGGCCGCGCGGTTTGCTGGTGCCCACTTGGGCACGCGGACCGCCGCGCGAGCCGGCGCCCCGATGGCCATGCGGGCCTTTGCCTCGCATGCCGCCGAGGCGTCCTCTTCCTCCTCCTCCTGGAAGCCCTTTCCCCAGGCGCTGGAGCTGCGCCTGCTGTCCATCAAGTCCCGGCAGCAGTACCTGATGGAGCGCCTGGCGTCGAGTGATGTGCGTGGTCCCTGGCCCTTGGGGGCTGCCTCCTGCGCACTGGGCTTGGGCCCTCCCCCCCCCCCCCCCCCCGGCTAACATCCATCCCGCAGGAGTCCATCACCCCCGCCGAGCGGACCAACCTCGGCCGGGAAATGTCCACCCTCGGGCCGATCATCGAGCGGTACCAGAACACGCTGCAGATCCGCGCCGAGCTGGACTCGCTGGACCAGATGATGCAGGCCGAGCGCGATGCCGACATGTTGGCCATGGTGCGCGAGGAGCGCGAGGAGGCCCTCGCCCGGCTGGCCACCTCGGAGGACGCGCTGATGACGGACCTCCTGCCGAAGGACAAGCACGATGTGGCCAATGCCATCTTGGAAGTGCGGGCCGGGACCGGCGGCGACGAGGCGGCCATCTTCACGCGGGAAATGCTGCGCATGTATGAGCGCTATGCGGCCGGGCGGCGGTGGAAGTTCGAAATCCTGTCGCAGACGGTGGAGCACTCGACCCGGGGGCTGCGCGATGCCACGGCCCTGATCTCCGGGCGCGATGTCTTCGGCATCCTGAAGTACGAGTCTGGCACGCACCGGGTCCAGCGTGTTCCGCAGACCGAAAACCAGGGCCGCGTGCACACGTCCACCATGACGGTGGCCGTGCTGCCGGAGGCCTCGGACGTGGACATCAAGATCCGCGAGTCGGACCTGCGCATTGACGTCTACCGCGCCGGCGGGGCTGGCGGCCAGCATGTGAACACCACCGACTCGGCGGTGCGGATTACCCACATCCCCACCGGGGTGGTGGTGGCCATCCAGGATGAGCGGTCGCAGCATCAAAATCGCGAGAAGGCCATGAAGATCTTGGCCGCCCGGCTGTATGACCTGGAGCGCCAGCGGTTGGCCGAGGAGCGCCGCGACGCGCGCAACGAGCTCATCGGCACCGGGTCCCGGAGTGAGAAGATCCGCACGTACAATGTCCAGCAGGACCGGGTGACCGACCACCGGATTGAGGAGTCCCTGCACAACTACGCCAGCTTCATGGATGGCGACATGCTGGACCAGTTCGTGGAGCGACTGCAGAAGCGCGACCGTGAGGCTCAGCTGGAGGAGCTGCTGGACACCGTGTAAAGCCCGGGGGCGGGGGGGGGGGGGGGGGGGCTCTGCCATGGGGCCCTGCGCAGCCCCCCGTTTCTGGGTGTCTCCCTCTCCCTCTGACTACGGCCCTCGGCGTACGTGGTAACGAAGCGCTCTTCCTCCTTTTGGCCGTCCTCCCTCGGCTCCCGCCTGGCTCTTCCTCGTGTGCAGACGCCCCAGACAGCTGGAATAGATGAATGGCTTTTTTTGCCGAGTCACATATGTGGGCCATGTTGCCCTGGGTTTTGTCGGGCGTGCATGCGTGGGTGCGTGTGCGTCCTCCTGGGGATGAGGGAGGCGGGGATGCATGCGGCAGAGAGCCGCCCAGGGAAGCCGATCCAACCACGGGCATACACGTGCCATGACATCGCTCTCTCCGGCCCCCCCCCCTGCATCTTCTCTGCTGGCTCTCTGCCCGGCCCTGCTCTCCTGCCAGAGGTCTGCACTCTCTCGCCCAGCCGCCGCCGCCGGCCCCCCCCCCCCCCCCTGCGCGACCCCGGGCCATGGCGGTGACACTGGCGAGGCGATGTGGCGATCCGGAAAGGGGGAAAAAAAAAAGAGAAATATATTCAATTTACTTCTGGGATTTCTTCGGATAACGTAAAACACATACATCCTCCGCCCGGCCCCCCCGCCACACTCCCACCATATTGCGTGCATCATCTCACGGAGCGTGCGCGCGCGCGCGAGCGAGAAAGAGCGCACATGCCTGCTCACAGAAGGGAACTGGCTCTGGGCAGCGGGTGCGCATCATTCTCACAGGCTGCGCAAGGAGAGAGGAACGGGGAGAGAGGAGGAGATAACATGCGCACACAGCGCGCGCGCACCCCCCCCTCCAAGCGAGGTCTAAAAAATGGAGGGCGCGGGCGCGGGCGCACGCGGCGGAGAGAGGAGACACCCCAGGCCCCGAGAGAGAGAGAGAGAGGCAGCAGCATCCGGTCAAAGGCCTTTTCTTCTTCCCACACGCACGTAGGTGGCGCGCGCACGCGCCCCTACTCCACCGCCTGGAAGCCATACTTCAGGGCCTCGTAGTCGGAGTCCGAGCGGATGACCGTGCGAGACCAGCTCTTGGTGGGGACAGCGCCGGTGCTGTTGCTCATGCTGCCACTGGAGGAGGAGGAGGAGGAGGAGGGGGAGCCGGCACCCGGGGAGAGGGCCACACTGGCGGTGGAGCCCGAAAGCGGGGAGCTGACCATGACAGCCGCCGGGGGGTGGGAGCGCGGGGAGCCCGGGGCCGTGGAGGCGGTGGTGGAAGCCGGGCCGCCAACCGGCGTGCCACCGGCCAGGAGCTGGGTGAAGGCGAGGTCCTGCTCGTCCAGGCCGCGGAAGGCCCGTGCGCGGGTCTGCGCCGACACCACCTCGGTCTGGGCCACCTTGCCGTCGCGCATCCACACCACGCGCGTGGCGAAGTTCTTCAGATACACGTCGTGCGTAACCATGACGAGGGTCATGCCATCGAGCTCATTCAGCTGGCGCAGCAGGCGCACCACGGACTTGGTGTTGACGGTGTCCAGGTCGCCGGTCGGCTCGTCAAGCAGCAAAACCGACGGCCGGTTGGCAATGGCGCGGGCGATGGCCACACGCTGCTGCTCACCGCCGGACAGCATGTTGGGCATGTGGTCCATCCGGTGGTGGAGGTTCATGCGCTCGAGGCTGGCCACGGCACGGGCCCGGATTTCGCTGGTGGCTGGGGGGGGGGAGGGGGAGGCGTGTTAGGGAGGAGGCATGGGAGGGGAGGGGGAGGAGGGGGGAGGGGGAGGAAAAGAGAAAGGAGAATGTCGGTCCGAGCGGGGTGGATCGGCCCCCGGGAGAAGGGGGAGCACGGCCCGGCCTGGCGGGGGCACATCGTGTGTGGATCCCAACACCAGCCGCCCGGAGCATGTGAATGTCGGCCACACATTGACCCGAGGACGAGTGGAGCGTTTCCTCGACCTCAGGCTTCGATAGGGCCAGGGGGGGGGGGGGAGAGGGAGCGAGAAAGAAGGGAGGGGGGGGGGAAACATACAGAGATCGCCCTTGAGGATCATCGGCAGCTCGACATTCTCGCGCGCGGTCATCGACGACAGGAGGTTGAAGGTCTGGAAGACGAAGCCCAGGGTGCCGAGGCGGATGTCGGCCAGCACGGAGTCCGGGGTCTTGGGGTTGATGAGCCGGCCGCCGATCCAGAGCTCGCCCTTGGTGGGCTTGTCGATGGTGCCGATGAGGTTCAGCATGGTGGTCTTCCCGCCGCCGGAGGTGCCATAGATGACGACCCACTCGCCGCGGCGAATGGAAAGGCTGACCCCGCGCAGGGCGGGCACACCCTCGACACCCATCAGGTAGGTCTTGTGGACGTTGTTCAGGTGGATGATGGTGTCCTCGCGGGGGGTTTCGCCGTCGTAGCAATCGGCCGTCGTGTTGCGCTGGGTGTCGTAGGTGATGTGGGCCACCATGCCGGCCGGGTCGTCATCGGCGTCGGCATCGACGACAGCCTCGCCGGGCGCCGGGCCCCCGTCGCCGGGCCCGCCACCAAGGCTCACCACCTCCAGCTCGGCGGTGATCTCATCGATGCTGGTGACAGCCGGCCGCGGGGAGGAGGGATGCCCCCCGAGGGAGTGCCCGCTGGCGGTGGTGTCGGTGGCCGAGGGCCGGTGCACTTCCGCCAGCGAAGGCCGGTGCACATCCGCCAGCGAGGACCGGCGGATGTCCTGCGCGGAGCCGGGCAGCCCGCCGGCCGCGGCAAGTGAAGACCGGCGAACATCCGGCGACCCGCGCCGGATGTCCAGCGATCCGCGACGCTGGTCCAGTGACCCGCGGCGCGTCTCGCCCGCTGGCGGCGGGTCCAGCAGGGGAGACCCCCCCGCGGTCGGGGGGATATCGGACAATGAGGGGTCCGAGCGGAGCTGGTCCGGGCGCGACAACTTCGGCGTGCCAGCCGGCGAGCCGGGCGACACCATCAGCGGCGACTCCGAGGAGGTCATGATCGAGGCTGCGCAAGTCGACGGACATCGGCGGGGGGAAGAGGACATGGGCGTTAGCCAGGTGGCAGGGGACAGGTGTGCAGGGCACGGGCTGGCTATGGGACGATGCTGCCAGGGCAGACCCCCAGGGAGGACACGCACGCTTGGGGTTGTGTGCACACAGCAGGGTGGTGGTTGCTGGGGGGGGCGGGCGGGACAGGAGGCGATGTGTCTGGCGCGTGCTCTTTCGCTTGCTCTTACTCACAAAAGGAAGGAGATCCAAGCTACGCGGATGGGATTGTGCGCGGGTGCGGGTGCGGGTGCGGCGGCGTGGGGGAGAGGGCGAAGGAGGAGGGCGAAGGGGCTTTTGTGGCTGCTGGCGGCGACGGCGAGGGGTGGAGGAGGCACGGGGACCCCTGGAGAAACATAGGTGGCCGGGCCACTCGGAGACCGGCTTTTATAGTGGTACCTGAGAAAGGGCCGGCACCCCCGGCGGAGAGGGGCGCGGGCGAGCGGGGAGACAGGGCACCGGGCCGGGGACCGAGCACACCGGCCAAAAGCCGCGCGGGAGACAGGCCCCCAACCCGCCTCGCCCCGCACAGCCCCGACCCACCCGTGCGTGTATATTGTGCGTGAGTGTCGCAGGACAGATGTGTGGATGACCGCCCCCCCCCCCCCGGCTGGCCCCCACACCCTCGGCCCCGGCTTGGTCAATGGGAGCTAGTCTCCCGGCGGCCGCCAGCGGCCCGGTGGCGGGGGGAACACCGCGGGCTGGCACGCTCCAGGCCCTCTCTCATTCCGCTTACTGCATAGCCTCTTAAGGGGGAGTGACGACTCATGGCACCTGCGCCCACCCCGGGGGGTGGGGCGTCCCCTTCACGGCCGAGGCACGGTCTAGTCCCTGAACGGGGAAGGGTGGGACAGAAGGAAGCCCAGCCGGCGAAACCCGGTGGTGTTCGGATTGTTCTGCCACGCCCTTCTTGTGTCCCCCCCCCCCCCACCCCTGCCACCGCCAGTTGCTCGGGAGCCGAGGCAGCGGCAGCAGCAACAGCATCGGGCTGGGGCCCTGGGGAGGGCTCGCCGCGTTTCCCGGTGCCCGGAGCCCTGCCGCAGAGCCGCAACAAGGTCAGTCCCCGCCCTGCCGAGGCGGGAAAGGCCGCGGAGCGCCAGAAGTGGCACTCGAGATGAGATCATGAATGACATTTTGCCGCTCGTGACCCCCTCGGCACGGGGCCGCGCTGTCACTTCGCCGAGGGCCTCAGCCGGATCTCTCCAGAGCGGGCGACGCCAACTTCCTGGCGCTCCAGAACGGGAAGCTCGTGCGGGCCGGCCGGAAATGCGCGCCCCGGCCAGCCGGCAGCTAACTGTGGTGGAGGCTGCGCCGGGGGGGGGGGGGCAAGGGGGACAAGGGGGGAGGGGCAGCATCCTCTCCAGGTCCCAGCTCTTCCCCGGCCTCCCTTCGTCCGGGGAGGGGGCGTGGGGGGCGCGCTGTGTACCCCCGGGCCGATCGGCTGGCGGATCTGGCCTCCTGTCCCCCTCGGAAAAGCCGGCAAGCAAAAAAGCACACGAAAAGACACGGTCCCCCCGCCGGCCCCTCGCTGTCCCCCCCCCCCCCCCCCCCCCCCCCCCGGCAAAGGGGCCGGACCGAGATCGAACGCCGCCACACCGCCCGCGTCCCAGCCCGGGGGAACGGCCCCCGACGGGACACTCTGCCCGATGGTGATGCCGTGGGTGTGCCAGCGCTGGCACGTCTTTCCTGCCCCTCGGGGCGCGGGAGAGATGGCGAGGCTCCGGATCCAGCCGGGCTCCCTCTTGGCAGGGCGCCTTGGCGGGGCTTGGGGAGCAATCTCGCCCGAGCACACCAGATCGGGGCCCAGCCGCACGCGTCACCGGTCCACCCCCGCCCGGCTGCCGGGGAGCGGGATATGCGCGCCTTTGGCCCACCCCCGCCCGCCCGCCCGCCCGCCTGAGTGTCTCTGCACGGACACACCCACCCGATGCAAGCAGGGGTGGGCCGGTGATTGTGGGAAAATAATTGTGTCCGTCGTGTCCCCGGGCCGTGGTGCTCGCTGTTGCATCATCACCCCCCC